GTGTTTGTGTATAAAGGCGCTCACAAATGTCTAAGGTCAAGTGAGCGTTCGGGACACACAAAACATGTTCAGGTGGTAGGAAAATTTTGAATTTTGCGCGGGTGACGACCGAAGCCTACTCTTATTGATTTTGGACCACCATGGGATCTTTAACGTGCACAGCTTGTACACGGGACCTCTCAGATTTTTCGACATTGTCCGAGATGGCTAAGTGTAGATCTTACCTACCATAAGATCGGGGATGTAGCTGAAAGACAGCAGTAAGAAGAAGCCGAGGAGAAACAGCAGAAAGACTGCAAAAAGAGCCAGGAGCCCAGAGGAGTGGGCAAAGGCGGTGAGGGGGTGTGTGACGGAAATGAAGACGAAAGCAGACAACAGAAAATAGAGAGCAGGGAAGGATGTGAAAGGAGAAAATTTTAGAGAGGAAAATTTTGCGTCGCTATCTGGATTCGAACCCGGGACCTATTGATTGAGAGGCAAACACTTTAACCTCTTCGCCAGAAGAGCCCCCAGACTACAGTTTGATCATACAAGTACGCCACTTTCGGTGTGAAAAGGAAAGTCATTATTTACTTGAATTTTGAACTTGAAATAATAAAACAAAAATGACAACTTCAATAATGAGCGCTAAAATCTCCGGCTTTGCATCATCGCCACACTTACATGCACGTGCTTGTTTAACTTAGAATGTTTAATGGTGCGAAACAATTGAACAGTTGCAAAACAGCCCAAATTGCTTTAATGCATTCAAGAAAATAGCCCACGAAATTATCTAACCAATATTGTAACATAATAGGACAAATTAAACTACAACAATAGCAACAACAACAACAACAACAACAACAACAACAACAACAACAACAACAGCAACATCAACAACAAAAACAAAAACCCAGAGCGATGCACTGTGGCCACCTGCTATGGCATGTGGTAAAATTGTTAGCATTTGTGTACTATTGCGTATGTGGTATTCTCTGTATAATTTGTATTTGTGTGATTAAAACGTTTCTATTTATTTATTTATCTTTGCCATTATATCCCAAATGTCGTCAGAGGAATTAATAAATTGCAATCAACTTCATTTATCTATTTAATTTTCAAGTTGAGAAGATAATCAAATACAAAGCCCGCACTGGAACCTCGGCATTGTTTAATCACTTCTTTATCTCCTCCTCTGGGAATCCCACGTTGGACAAAGATGACATATAGATAACACGGTTGATATTTCCCGACAAACACGGAGGGCAAATGAGTAGCATTCATGTTGAAAAAATGCTTAATTTCATCTTTATCGCAACTTTCAAATTCTGTAGAGTTTCATTATTCCGGTCACTTAAAACAAATTTGTAGATATTTTTGATGTTCTATTACACAAGCTGTGAGATAAACTTGTAGTTTTGACATAAGTCCATGTCTTTTATTCAGGCAGGCTGCTCCGATCCTGCCAGTCGGGGCCAACACAGGCTCAGATAGATGCAATAATGATTCCAGCAGAGCAGACAGGCAAATATTCTCAATAAATAATCTCCCCACACGGGAATCGAACTCACGCTTAAAACCGCTCCGCCAATGACAGCAAAAGAAAAGCCGAGCACTATAATATAGGGTAAGCATTTTTACCCGAACTAACTCTATGAAACAATGTACAAAAAACTATTACTGAAATACTTCTTGTCCTATCCAGCATGATCAGTCCCCTCCTACGTTTCTTCGCCTTTTAAAACTGCATTTTTCCACACCCCCGCCCCCTAACCCCGTCACGTGTCTTACGCCCACCTCTGTACCCTCACTTCCTCATCCACCCGCTCTTTTAAACAATTCCTTTACCCCATCCCACCCGAACAGGCAAAGTTTTCCAGTCCGTCACTGTTATGTCTCTGGAATCTAGTCAAGTCGGAAAAGGAGGGGAGCGAGAAACCGTCTCCTACATCAAAACCCCTCCCTCTCCACCCTACCACCACCACCACCACCATCACATCCTCCTACTCCTCCTCCTCCTCCTCCTCCTCACCGCCACCACTACCTCCCCCTCCTACTCCCCCTCCTCCTCACCCATAGTTCACTAGCGGGTGCCAGCCCGCTGCCTGCTGCTCTCCGCTGTTCTGAGATAAATAGACGCCACAGTTGCCACTCGCCAACAGATTTGGCGGCGGACTCATTCGTTTAGGATTTCTGCAGGCAAAGTAGTGGTCACAACTTGATGGGGCACCAGGAAAAAGGTAGTCAAGTAACAGGTGAATCGAGAGTTTACGAACTTGGCTTACGGACCTGATTAAAAACGAACACCGGTAATCACTTTTATTTCTTGAGATTTGTTGTCATTTCGTTTGTCTCATTCTCCCAAATTAATTGTGTTTGAAGCCAAAAAAATGACACACAATTTAAATTTTGAGGCTTTAAATACAACTATTTCATAATTTCAAATAGTGACCCACCCAAACTATGGTCTCTTATTTGATCGACTCTTAATCTAACCAAATCATTGATCACTGCTGGTTTTTTCTGATTTGTATCATCCCCTAAAACATCTTAAGGGTGAAAAAAAAGGGTAAAGATTTTCGTATGAAATACGCAGTTTTTTGTAAACTGAGGTTCATGCAAATTGATGGAGTATTTGCCGCTTTATAAGCTGTGTGCATGACACTGCTTTTAAACCTGAGTTGGAGACTTTTAGAAAGTTGCCCTCGAACACAGTCGATGTACAGAGGACATGTAAGATTTTTACTGTGAAGCACAAGTTTCAAAACGTAAGTTAAGAAATACAAAGTTCTGATGTTAAATTCTTTTTATTTCTTATTGTTTGACTATTGTTTCGTAAAATAAAGTGTCGTCGTGCTCCTGTTTTGTCGTTCCCCCCTTGTGTTGTTATGGTTTCTGGTGAAATGGTCTTCTTACTTCTTACTAAAAAGGTACATAAATTCATCACCCAAACCTGGTGATTTTAGTTTAATATAAAGAGGCTGTCTGAAGCGATACACGATAATTAAAAATGAAACGAATAAACAAAAAAGAAAAATTTATCTAAGATATTCTCGAGGTACAATCTAGGGTACAATGACAAACAAATATTCAACCCAAATACGTGCGTTATAGAAGTTATAGATATAATAATACTAAGAAAAACAGTTACGCAACTTTATAGCAACGCAGAACAATTTTACAAACGTGCCATATTGGTCGGTACTGGGTAATGTGCTGCTTTGTTTTATTTATTTATTTGTTTATTTGTTTATTTATTTATTTATTTATTTATTTATTTATTTATTTATTTATTTATTTATTTATTTATTTATTTATGTTTATTTTTTAAACAAATTGTTCATTCATTTGGGGAGGGGGTGGTGGCTGGGTTATTGTCTTGGTCAAAGAAACATCCCAGTGACCACCCATCTAAACCTCGTGTAACCGACACAGAGTTGTGTCCTTGGCGCAAAAACACGGTGCTTTCTCTTTTGCAATGCCTTTACTTATGACATGTACCGTACTGACCTTTTAAGTGCCTCAGCTTATTTTAAAATCCTTTTTTTTTTAACCAACGTAATCTTTCCCTACCTACTTTTTCCAAGTATTTGTAACCCCCACCCCCCCCTCCCCTCGGTCTCACATGTGTTGAGATTGCGGGATCGGGGGCTTGAGCCTCAGCTCGGTCCGACGTTGTGTCCTTGGGAAAGGCACTTTACACGAAATTCCCACTCTGCTCGGTCCTTTCGGAAATGGACGTTAAAAACCCGGAAGTCCCGTCTCTTAAGTAACTTAACAGTGTCGATAGGGGCGTTAAACTTATACCATTTCACAAAAATTTCTCACATTTATGCTCTTATCGCCATTCTAATAAGTACCTTGAGACTACTAAGATCCACCAGTGCCGCCCTCGACCCCCCTCTCCCTCCCCCCCCCTGATGACTGTAATTCTCTCTCTCTCTCTCTCCCTTCTCTCTCTCTCTCTCTCTCTCCCTCCCCCCCCCCAACACTCACCCACCAAAGTAAGGAACAGACAGCTATAACATTTAGCTGTACTTGACCCGTGTTTGTGGTGTAGCGGTGAGGCGCGTCGCTGCCGTACGCACGAGACCCGGGTTCGATTTCCAAGTGGGGAGAATTTCTAGCGAGAATCTCGGGTTTTCTGCCAGGGTGTGTCCCTGCTCACCGTGGGCTCTGACAGGAAGAGTCAAAGCCCTTATCCTAAATCATATGTTGTCGTCAGCGATCCAGATCCTAAATCATCTAAATGATCTAAAGTGCGTCAAAGAGGACGTAAAAATACGCTTATATTTAAAGGAAAAAGAATCTTATTAAATATACTACCCTTGAATAAGATTTCGGATTTCAAAATGATTTATTGATTAAGGTCTTGTTGAATAAACAAACTATGGAGACTACGAGCAGCAAAATTTGTCTTTTTTTTTCCTTTTTAATATTGTTTCATAAAAACCTAGAATGCTTCTAATTGTTCGTTTTATAGGTTTCACCCCCTCTGTATGACCAGCACTCCGATATCCCGGAGTCTTCTTTGCAACCCCACGCACCCCCCCCCCCTCCCTCCAGGAATTGAGCCTGTCTCTGTTGGCGGGTCCTCGAATTTGGTTTTGACATGTTTCCTCTAGGGAACCACACAGTGCTTTGTCCTGTCAAACTTAGCACGATTGTTGACACGTGCATTTTTATCCTAACTGCAAGTTTCTGTGTCTGTTTTAAGGAAAGGATGAATTTGTTAAGTGCGTAAAGTAGCCCAGCTGAACATAACATGACCCCCTTTCCCCCACCCCTTTCCAACTCATTCGCGAATGGTCCACCCTCCCCTCTAAACCAGGAGTAAACAATGTTTAAAAAAAGTATTTCCAAAGAAAAATGACATAATTTTTAGTTTTGCAGAAGTATCAGAAGAATGAAACTATCACCTAAATGGACAAGGGTCATAGACTTGAATTATATTATTATTAACCTAGAAAGTGCAGCGTCATGACCGCTGCTCTTTCCTCTCTATAAATTTAATACTCCGTTGGGAAGCGCAAAGACCAGTCTCGCTTGGCACCTTTCTCCACTCACCCTTCATCTGGCTCCAAATTGAACAAAATTATGTTGCGCTCCATCGTGAACTGAAATTTCAATATTTACATGAGAGTGCACAATCTAGGATATCGTAATGCAAATCTATGCTATGATAAAAAGAGCCAAAACATTTTCAATTATTTCCAGCTGTAATAGCTTTTCGACTCTCTACACAAAAGCAGCAAACGTCGTAGCGGAAGTTAAAGAAAAGAGGTCGTAAATCCGAGGTCTCCGCTCTTCGTAGACGCCACGACATTAAATACTTATGTTTGTCGTGTCGTTCTACCCGAAATAATAATATGCTTATTCTTATACTTTATTTTAAGAAAGGGGGGGGGGGGGGCGTACTCTATTTTTATCCGTGTCGACTATAAAATATAACACAATAGGAAAACAAAGTAATATGACGCAGAAGAAAGGTTTTAAAACTTGAAAATAAAACAAACAAACCCCAAAACTATGAACACGCCCATCGCTGCAGGAAAGCGAAACTGGTACTACTGGTGTAGTGGCTAAGCATTTCGATAGCGAATGCAGAAGATCTGAGTGCGAATCCCGTGTGTTGAGAAGTTTTATTAAGTATCTCGGTCTTTCTAATTGCTTTCAGCTAGAGCTGACCCTGAGAAGCGCGGTCGAAGTCAATAATACCCTCTAAATGATCTGAATTGTGTCGATGGGTGTGTTTAAAAAACACATTATTTATGAATGGAAGGACAGCGAAGAGAATAATACAATAGAATTTTAAAAGTATGGACTGATCTCAATACGTAATATTTTATTAAGGAAAAGCAATAGAAAACTCAAGACACGTCACAAGTATTTTACTCACAATCAACTTTTATTTCCCTGCCTTACAAACGTTCAATGCGGCCACCCTCCTCCTCCCCTCCCCCCTCAAGCAGCACAGGCATCGTTATTGCGATAAAAAAAATTCATTCCAGGCGTGTTTCAGCGTATCATGGTCCACTGAGTTGATCGCTGTTGTCATCGACGCTAAAGAGATCGTCGAGGTTAGTAGGTAGCGGTGGAACATAAATGCGATCGTTTACATATCCCCACAAGAATAAAACCCCAACGAAAACAATACACACATGGTTAGGTTTTGGAGTCTGGAATGCCAAGCACAGAGAGCAAGGGTTTGGGTCCCTTACCGACCAATCCAACCTTGGGGCACTTTTTCATTTTAAAAAGCTCGAACCACCCGGTGCCACTTAGGCGGTGTCCCATCTAGTTGGAAAATGAAGTAATGCAAACCTGCTGTCTAGATGTGAAGAGACAATTTTGGAGCATATCGAGATATGGTTGTCCTGTAAGGGTATATCCTTTATAAATGAACAACACGACAACAGCACCCTCTTTGATAGCTATTCAAAAGCTGGATAACTCGTCTTTCAAATGGTCACTGACTCATCCCATAAAGATGCTTGAAATGTGAAGCGAGGTGTCATAAAATCATTTCATGCTTTTTTTATTCAAAGGTTAAGTTACTCCCCTTTCAAATGACCACTGATGCATTTCATAACGATGTTTAAGAATTTAAAAGAAAACGCTTCATAAATTTTGTTAATTCTTTTTTAATCACCCTGTATTTTTATTAAAATGTCAATCGTTCAGACTTTTGAAAATGTAAACTTAATATAGACTTTAAGTGTCAACATTATACCGTTGTGTGATCAAAATACACGGCTATTTTAATTGATTACTGTTTTTTAAAGGTTCCAGGCGTCAGTCAACAAAGCGGTTATGTTTAAAGCTGTTATTTCAACCAGAGTTGACAATCAACCATTATTAGCTCAAATTAACAACGTAATGACATGAAAGAAAAACAATTTTACCAGTGGTTTTGAATTGTTATGTGCATAATAATTTTTCGAAGATCCATTTTTCTTCAAATTGAAAAAAAAAACAAAAAAAACTTTCGTGATATGAATTGCCATTTGAGTGTCCAGAGAAAGTTGCATATGAAAATGTTAATGTCATTCAGTAATTTCTTTCGGATATCTAAGTCATTTTGAAACGGTTACCCTGGGCTGATGAGGAGTAACGTGCTATTACCATTCAAAAGCAGCAGTTTCGGATTTATAATCTATATCTATTTTCTTTCTGCGTTGCTGCTGATGAGTCTTTCAACAGATTATATAGCATACTACTTAGCAATTTGAAAATGTAACAGAAATAGCAAAACAGAAATAGCAAAACAAAAATAGCAAAACAGAAATAAATTAGAAAGATGTAGAAC